CATCCCCAGATTCTGATTTCATTCATCTGTGATTTGCCTAGACATCAAGATGAATTCCCCTAGTGACACGAATGTGCTGCAAATCTTGAGAATCACTTCTTAAACATGTTTCCAGCAAAAATGCAAAAGCATCTGGGTCTCTCTAAGGCACCAAGAAACTTGCCTGGTATAGGTTAAAGACCTGAATCCAAAAGGTTTGGGTTCAAACCCCAGACCTTACACTTTCTAGCTCTAATTTGGACAAGGTACTTAACTTCTTCCAGCTCTGTTTTCCTCATCTACAAATAAGGTAAGGCTTAGGTTATCTACCCAACAGAGCTGTTTGGAAAATTAAAGAAAATATATAAAGCCCCCTAGCACAGTGCCTGCCAGGTACATGGTAGGTGCTCAAAGCTGTGGATTCCAAGGTGGGTGACTTGCTCAAGTCACCCAGAATTTCTTGGCATTTTTTCCCCCTTGCCTATAAAATGAAAGAATTGGGCAAGAAAAGTGGTTTTAAGGCAACAGAACCCTTTTGTAAACAATTTTATCTGGAACCTCAGTATGTAACATAAGTTTATTTATACCAATTTCTATGTGCAGTGAAAGGGTGGAGATTTTCCTGTAAGACCTCACCACCACTCTCTTCAGACATCTCTGAAGCCATTTCTCAGAATCTCAGGTCTCAACTTCTATGCCTGTCAATTTATTCATTTCTTTTCTTTTAAGAAGTATTTATTCAATTTTATTTATTCATTCATTCATTTAAATTTGACCAGAGAGAGACAGAGAGAGAGAGAGTAAGTGAGAAAGCAAGTCACCAGGTCTGGGATTCGAACAATGGTCAGCCATGTGGGAGTGCCCAGCATCTTAGTCACCATGCCACCTGCTGGCCCCAAATTTATTCATTTCTTTTTTTTTTTTCCATTTTTTTGGAGAGGTTTTTACTATAGGGCACGTATGCTCACCAGAAAGACAGAGAGAGACAGAGAGACAGAAAGCGAGAAATCCCCCCCCCCCCAGGGGATGGCCACGTCACAATCCCTTCTCCTCCATTCTCTTCTTGGGATCTTTGGCATGCACACACACGCACCAAGCGTGAGTTTAAGCCACCAGGTCCAGGACTTGAACCGTGGTCGACTACATGGGAGTTCAGCAACTTAGCCATTATGCTAACTGCTAAGATACCTTCCAGCTCTGACATTTTGGTTCTGAATTTATTCAGCAAAAAAGCATGGAATCAAAAGACAGTATGAAATAATGCAGCCCACATCACAGTTCCTGGGCACAGGCCTTGGCCTTTGTAAGCCCTCAATAGCTACAGAGAGGATCCCAGAATGAACAGAAGTCTGCTCTTATGACTCTTACCCGGGAAGCTAAAGTCAAGGCCAGCACTCGGAAGGAATGATAGTACCTGGATGTACTCTTTGAAGCAGCAAAAGAAAAGAAATACTTGCTCTCTGACTTGACTAAGAGAGCCTTATGAGGATGGCCACCATAGATTCAAGTTTGCAGTGAACCTTCTAGGCACTTTATACAAGGGGTCTTCAAAATGTTCATGAATATGTGTATTGTAAGAAAACAACCATGTATGGAACCAGCAGTTAACATAATGGCTATGTCACTGGACTCCCATGTAGTCAACTGCAGTTCGAGTCCTGGACCCAGCGGCTTAAAACTCACGCCGGGTGTGTGTGCGTGCGTGCCCAAGATCCCAAGAGGAGAATGGAGGAGAAGGGATTGAGGCGTGGCCATCCTCCCTGGGGAGTGATTTCTTGCTTTCTATCTTTCTGTCTCTCTCCGTCTGTCTGGCAAGCGCATGCGCCCTATAGCAAAAACCTCTCCAAAAACAAAAAAAAAAAAAAGAAAACAACCATGTATAGATTTTCATCTTTCATACCAAAATAAAAATAAACTCATACTTTAATTCCATTTTCCACCAACTTGTTGAAGTCCCCCTATATATGCTAGACACTGAAAATTGAGTTAGACCCTAAAGATGTAGTAATTCACAAAACATGGAACGGACCCTCACCTCCCTCCAGGGGTTGACATTTCAGAGAGTGAGAGACCCAGAGAGAGCAAAATAGTCAGCTAAAGCTTCTATAGCATCATTCATTCATTCATGGAGTTATCACTATGTCCTTTCTACTCACCATGAGGCATCCAGGGTGACCTTCTAAAAAGTAAACCAGCTCATATCACTTCCTAAAACCCTTCCGTGGCTTTTCCATTATACTTAGAAGGAAATCTGAAGTCCATGTGCACTCATTAGAGCCCTGCTCAATCTGACTTCTGCCATTCCTCCTGCCCACCTGGCCCTCTCTCTCACCCTTGGCTCTCTCCCATGGCTTCTATGCAGTCTTTTTTCAGTTTTTTCTAATCTAACAAGCTCTCTTTTGCTTGGAATGTTTCTCATAGTCATTTTTCCACCTGAGCTGCTCTCCTTCCCACCCCAACCCCAAGTGGTCTCCTCTTGTCCTTAAAGGTTGAGCTTAAACGTTACCTCCCCCAGAGGAGCCCTTTCTGACCACACTGAAAGAGACACCCCCACAGTCTCCATTTCAGCCTGCTTTCTAGTTTCTTCGTAGTGCTTTTCTCAACTTATAATGCAGTTACCTCAGCCTGGGTCTCAAGAGCTAACAGATGGCACCTCCAGCTCTGAGAGGGCTTTTTCCAAAGGTGTGGGTGTAGGAAAACCACATAAGTGTGTGGAGTTATCTAGGGCTAGCGGCAGCCAAGCCGTTGCCACTCCTAGACCCTCCAAAACGAGGACAGAGCAGTTTCCAGAACCCGGGAGGAGAGGAAGTCAGGTAGACTCACTGCTCCCCACAAGGAACAGCAAGCCTTCCATCAGCTGAAGGACACGTCAACCAGTCCTCACTCCCCTCGTTCCCTCGAACATGCTGAGATGCTCCATTGACCAGATCGAGCCTGAAGCCAGAGGATAGAGGACCTGGGTCATGTATCCATATAGGTCAACCTTCTGGGATACAGCACAGGTGGAGAAGGGTGGAGAATAGTTCTGAGAGGCAAACAGAACAGTCCTGCACAGGACTGTTGTCCTTCTGGACCTTTCGGTGTCCACCCCTGTATTCTCAGAAGCTAGCCTAGGGCTTGACACTTAGCAGGTAGTCCATTAATATTTATTGAATAAATGGATGATTATGCAAGAGTCCCAAAAACTATTTGTCAGATAACTAATGAATGGATAGGATAGGATTATGAGACTTAAGAACATAAGGCATGGCCACAGTGCCTCAGAATACACAAATAGAGCCGAAGATAGAATTTCCAAATGTTTCAGCCCACAAAGTCCTAGCTTTCCAGGCCAGACCAAGAAGGAAAGACCAAAGTCTCTGTTCTATCAACTTATTTCCACTGTGTTTTGTCACTCTCCTCCAGGACTGGCCTCAGGCCAGCAGGATGGTTGCAGTTTACTTTCTAGGAGGAGCCTGATTCTTCTCTGCACTGTTTGCTTTGTGGGCTGAAGACAAGAATGAGCCACAGGAGCAACCTCCTCTGAAAGGTCTATAGTAGACGGCCCTAAGTCTCACCAACTTGTCAGTAAGGGCTCCGAACTGCAGGCACCCCACAGGGTAAGAAAGCCCAGGCTCTGGTGAAACACTGGCACAGGCTCAGGAGCCACCTTTCCACCTTCCAGCTATGTACGTGCAGCAAGTCACTTACCCTCTCTGAGCTTCTGTTATAAAACAGGGGTAATAGAATCTACTTTTGAGGGTCATGAATAATATACAGCAAGTTGAAAGCAGCAGAGGCTTATTAAACACATTATAAATATTAGTTTTCATAAGGCCTACGCCTTATTCAATAGTGTGCCTTGACAGTGTCGTAATCCAGGAAAGACCCCAAAGTCTTTTCCACCCTCTTCCTGATACCATCAATTTGATTGACTAGACACCAAGTACTTCTATTTTTTTGTTTGTTTGTTTGTTCTTAAGTGGAGTTTCCTTTTTAAAAAAATTTTTTTATACATTCAATCACATTATTTAGCTTACCAAGTGAACATTTCAATATGTGAACATTTCTCCCCAGTCCAGTTGGTCAAAATATCTTAAACAGAAAACACCACACCTCCCCCATCCCGTCAATTCTCTGCCTCTGTATCCCTCCTCCAAATCCTTCCCTCAAGTACTTCTATTAAGCTTTAAGCCCTAGCCCCATTTAAAATGGTATCTTACTTCCCCATCCAAGATAACCCTTAATCGTTATTTTCAATACAATATTAATGTAATTCTCTCTCTCTTTTTTTTTTCACTCTGTAAGTTTCACCTGAGGACAAAGAATCAAGTTAGATGGCACTTAAGACCACAGCACACCAGTAGTGGACAGGAGTAAAGCAGCCTCCCCAAAAGAAGACAAGATAAATGAAGGTTAACCAGACATGCTGCACCATTCTGATGAATGGATGATCCTGAAATCTGCCCCGAACTAGCTATTATCAGGGCTGTCAGCAAAAGAAATCTCCAGGGAGAGACCCCAGATCTATCCACTTGGAAGTTATTTATCCAATTTGATGGAACACTGAGTGTCTACCCAATGCTAAACCAGGCCTCCACTGGCACAGTTCACACTGTAACTCAAGGTTTTGCCCTTTTGGCAAAGAAAGTAGCCCATTCTAAGAGCAGAAGGTCAGGCAGCCTGGATTTACAGCCTAAAACCATTGCTTCCTGACTTGGTACCTCTCGTGCTCAGGGCTGGCCTCACCGGTGTGCAGGTCCAACAGTCACTCAGGGCTCATGCCCAGAAGGACCTCAGCACACTTGGCTGAAGTTCTGCTATCATCATCTTGAAATTCCTACTCATTTCTTAACAGTGGCTTTTCATTTTCATGTTTCACTGGACCTTGCAAATTCCATAGCTCGTCTTTTCCACACTTGTTTATTCTCTCTGCTTCTCCACAACCTCATTCATAAAACTGGGGTAACAATACCTACTAGTAAAATGGTGGAAGAGTTGTGAGGATAAACTCCATTTGTAAGGGCAAACATGAATCACAGGTAGCCCTGGAGTTAAGGAACAGTTTTGACTGTTGGTAAAATTTGTGAGTCCACAGCTTTCTTATCACCCTTGCGCTGCTCTGTATGTCTCTTTCTCTATGTCGAAGAGCTCACCTTCCTGGTGTCTTGGCTTCTGTAGCTTCTTTTTCTTGAAGTAAGCATCAGTGAGGTATTTCGGGATTTTTTACTTAGCTAATGTCAATTTTCATAGAGGTGGTGATAACAAAGTTCTAGTTTATTCTGTGTGGTGGAACTCGATTGAGGACCAGAGATGCAGTCACGAGCAGCAAGCTACTGCTCAGTTGCTTCAGGAAACTCTCACTTGGTCCTCTCCATGGCTGTGTGAGGTCAGCCCAACAACTCAAGTCACAATGGGACAAACTGCGACTTAGGCCACTAGCTGAGTCACTCAGAGCCACTTATTGCAGGTCACGGAGAAAATTAGAATCTTGCCCCTGTCTCTTCATAGGGACCCCTTCCATGGCCCAGAGGTGCTCGCCCTCCCCATGTTTGCTCCCCCTCACACCATGTCAGAAGCCCTAGGGAGTTGCCTTAGGCCCACACCTGATGGTCTGGGCCAAGAGCTGGCAGGCTGCCCATTCCTCCCTACTTCCTGCAGTGAAAGTTTCTTAGGTAAGGGGGGTTCTACTCACCTTGTGCTCCCTTGTTAGCTAGGATTAACCCTTTCTCTGCTTTCTTCTTCTTCTTCAACTTTAGCCCAAACATTCCCTTTCTAAAAAGAAAGAGAAAAACTTAATATGGTAATAGAGACTGAGTCATTAAGTTGTGTTGAGAGTAAATCCACAACCACATTCAGTTCTGGAAACCGAGTCTCCTCATCCACCCAGAATGGAGGTAAAAGCCACATGTCAGGAGGACATAAGGAGTTCTTGAGATAGCTCTCCTTTTGCAGAAACCACAAACCCCACCTTAATAAACACCTGAGGTCCAGCTGGAATTGCACTAAGATGAGACACACTGAATACTAATAGTACTAGGTAACATTTCTCCTTTTCTTGTGCTAGACACTAAAAAGAGTGAGATAATCCACGGGACCAGCAGTTGGCATAATGGCTATGTTGCTTGGACTCCCATGTAGTCGACTGCGATTTGAGTCCCAGACCCAGTAGCTTAAACTCACATCGGACACGTGTGCATGCATGCCCAGATCCTGAGAGGAGAATGGAGGAGAGGGGATTGCAGTGTGGCCATTCCCCCTGAGAGGGGTTATTTCTCACTTTCTGTCTCTCTGTCTTTCTGGCAAGTGCATGTACCCTATACAAAAACCTCTCCAAGAAAAAAAAAAAAGAGGAATGAGATAATTCAACCATCACAGCCTCCTTCTCCAGTTCATCTTACAGATAAAGAGCCAAGGTCCAAAGAGGGCTGGCTGTTTCAAAGGTCCCACATCTCCTGAGCATCTCGGCTATTACTGGGTCCAGATCTGATTTCAGAGTCCAGGCTCTAGCCACTGGGAAGTCTGAGCCTGCCCATCCCCCTCAGCTGAGTGAGCATCTCACTAGACCTAGGCTCTCAATGCATGTCCACGGTCAAGAGGCCCTGGGGCTTACTGAGGTCACACCATAAGTACAAAGCTCAGCGGGCACATGGTACAAGCCCCTGTCAGCTCCTGTTATTATTGTTATTTATTATTGGCCATGAGCAGAAAGCCATTCTGAGCCTCCTCATCATAAGAAAGGGCCCTGTCCTGTATCTCTAAGACAGGAACATTTCCTGACACTCTGTCAGCCTCCTGAGAGAATCCCTCTCTGCATCTCAGGGATTAGAGAACACACGGTCTGGATGGAAGGACCATGAATGCAGTTCGGAGAAAAGTCCTGGCCTTGAGTCAGGCAGGCTGGTAGGGCCAACCATGGAGAAAGGAGGAGGAGGAGGAGGAGCAAGGAAATGCACACCAGGAGGGGAGGGAGGGAAGAGCAGCAGAGGCTCAAATCTATGCAGCTAGTATTCTGCTCTCCCAGAGCCATGCATGGAATAGCAGAACAATCAGGTCTCCCACTCGCTTACATATTTAGGACTTGAGCTGGTATACTGCAGCAGTTAGGATCAGGCATTCCGTAGTCAGACTGCCTGGATTCTAAACTCACACTTTCCTTGACCTTACACAGGTCACTTAACCTCTCTAAACCTGAGTCTTCATGTGTGAAATGAGACAATAAATGTAAACATTAGTACAGTCCAGTTACTCAATAAATCCTAATTAATGGGGCCAGCCAATTGCATAGTGGTTACATCACTACACTCCTACAGGGCCGACCATGGTTCAAGTCCTGGACCCTGTGGCTTGAAAGTCATGCTGGGCACATGTGCATGTATGCCCAAGATCCCAAGAGGAGAATGGAGAGAAGAGATTGCAGCATGGCCATCCCCCCTGGGGAGTAATTTCTCACTTTCCCTTTCACTGTCTCTGTCTCTCTCTGCTGAGTGCACACACCCTAAGGCAACAAACTCTTTTAAAAAATCTTAATTATTATTATTCTAAGGAAAAGAATTAGGACCAATGAGTAGAATGTAGTAGGAGACAGAGGTTCACTCAGTTCATTTACTTATTATTTATTTATTCTGTCTGTGTCCTCCTTTGATACAGATGGGAAATTAAGACTTCCACATCAGTGCCATCTGAACAGCAGAATGCACTGCTTTGGGAGAGGAGGAGAATTCTATTCGCAGAGGCATGTAAGCAGGAGCCCAAGGACTACTGTTGTAGAGAGGACAAGTATCACAAGGCAGAGATGACCTAGGGGACCTCAGTGGTCCTTTGAGACATGTGATACAGTAGGGTGAAAAGAATGGGCTCTGAAAACACTGAGACATTATGGAACTCTCAATTTTTGGAGTGAGTCATGGTACCCCTCTGAGCACCAGTTTCCTCATGCGTATAATGAAGATAATTAAAATAAAGTACCTACTTCACAGGATTGTCTTGAGAATAAGATGAGGTAAGGTAAGCAAAGACCCTAGGACAGTGTCTGTATAGAAAGCACTAAGTACCTTTCTGGGTGGTGGCATTTTCCCCCTTCGATTTGCCATCATCCTCTTATAAAAACTTCATGCTAAGTCTCCAGGGATCTCTGAAGAATGTACACAATGGGAACCCCTCTTTCCAGAAATGTCTTAGAATTTCCAAAAATAGTTCTTTCTGTCCTGTGGTAAGGGGCAGTTACCATGCAGAGAACCCAAAGTTAGTGAATAGGTATTTATGGTCCGCAAGGTCTCCTTGCCATGATCAGTTCATGGAGGCAGAATCTGATGTTCCTGGGAACATGATCAATAGGCTCTGCAGACTACTTGACAAGGCTGAGTTAATTCTATCTACAAATTAGAGGTCGCTACTAATAAAAGCCAGTATCGGTCAGGGGGAGACATACTGTTCCTTTAGGGAGCTGATACCTCCTTCATGAATGGTCTCAGCTTCTGAATTCTCCTAGGGCAAGCCAGTGACTATGGCATTATAGCATGGCTCAAGATGCTTCCATGGGGAGGGGAAAAAACCAGATGTCCACTTATTAGAGATGGGTACCCCTACCTCTCTGAAACCAAGAGCTTTTGACCCTGCTGCTCATTAGAATCATCTACAGAGGAGCTAGCCCTGAAGCATAGTGGTTTAGCCCTCTGTGTAGAAAGCTGGTTTCAACACGGCCAACTAGTTTGAATTCTGGCCCTATCAACTTGAAAAACACACTGGGCATGTGCACATACATGCCCAAAATTCTAATGGGATGAAGAAATAAAGGAAAGGGATTACAACATAACAAAACTGTTTGCTATCATACCACTCTCTCATGCGTGTGTACGCACATGTACCCTCTGGCAATTAAAAAAATATTGCCTAAAGAGTTTCTTTTTAAAATATCAATGTTTTGAACCACCTTCATAAGTTTTTAATTGATCTATGGCAGGGTAGTATTGAGAACTCCTGGTCTAGGCATAATTCAGAGACCCCTACATAGGAAGCCAAAGAGACTTTCAAGGAGGCCCAAACTATCTCAGCCTTCTTGGGTGGGTTGATGTTAATCTCACAAACACACAAAGGTGTTTGTCTGAAACTGTGAGTCAGTCATCAAGGGCACACCCAGCATGGTGCCCAGAATGAAAAAGCTGCTTGATGAAAATTAATTTATCTTCCACAGCCCCATGACATCCAACAGCAGAGAGGAGACGCTCCTTGCTAGCCAGAAAGATCATGTCTCTGGAAAATTGGGCAGTAGAAAGCAAATCAGTGATACAAGAAGGCTCAAGAGTCCTGCCTGAATCCACTGTCAACCCTAGAACTTGGTGCTAGATACTGAACTCAGAAGAGTTAAATCTCGATGACCAGGACTCTTTATACCATATGTACCAGGAACATAATTTTACACATTTGTATCTCCTAGGATCTCACAGCGTACCTCAAGGTAGATACTATTATTATACTTTTTTAAAATTGGGAGGTTGTCAGGGATTTCCAGCCAATATATTGAGCTTGACCAACAAATCAGGAAGACTTATCCTAGTAAGTCTCTGAGGCGACCCTCACACTTCCTCTCCAGTTTGCTAAGAGTAAAGTATGAAAACCTTCCCATTTCACAAAAAGGATGGGGTTTTCTAGTTTAGGATCTACTGAATCTCCTCCCAAGGTCACCCCCAAGTAAGCCAAGAGAGACATTGGAACCCACATACCAACCTTGTCTCCTCAGGGTGAAAGCTACCACGACTCCGATATCTGTATCCAAACAATAAAAGCATTAAACACGGAACACGTTAGACTTGCTGCAGATTATCTGTTCAAGAAGTGGCCATAAGGTTCGGACCACCAGATGGCATAATGGTTACATTGCTGGACTCCCACGTAGTCAACCGTGGTTTGAGTCCTAGACTTGGTGACTTGAAAGTCACACTGGGCACATGTGCATGCGTATCCAAGATCCTGAGAGAGGAATGCAGGAGAAGGGAGGCCATGCCTCCTAGAGGGTGATTTCTCACTTTCTGTCTCTCTGTCTCTCTCTGTGTCTCTGGTGAGCACACCTGCTCTCTAGCAAAAATCTCTAAATAAGTAAATAAATAAAAGAAGTGGCCTTAAGGTTAACTCTGCATTCTTCACTAGGATGTTATACAGATGACCTCATTGAGCCATCATGCTCAACAGTTAAATTTCCAAACCAACCACAGTGGTGCACAGGTAGCACACTGCTTGGTAGACTGGAAGCCATACAGAGGGCTTGACTTCAGTTCCTGGGCCCACCTGAACATACCAGGTGTGGTTGCACACATCTGTGACCCTAGCTAATAGGGAGGCTGGGGCAGGAGAATCATGATTAGGCAAGACCCTGTCAAGAATGACTCTTTCTGCCTCTCTCCTTTCCCTCTCTTTCTCTCTTTTCCTTTTTTTTCTCATAAAGAAAAAAAAATTCTTCCTCTTAGTATGTCTGGAGTAAAAAGTAGGGGGCAGAGGAGATGGGAGGGGAGTGACCAGTAGAGAGAGATGGGCAAGAAGCAGAACACACAGAAATTCAAGCCATGGGGAAGGGACTCAAGTTATCCTGAGAACAACTGGGAGTTTTTCAAAGTTTTTAGCAGAGTGCTTCATTCTCTCCCTGCCTAGGCCATCTGACCTTTTTCCTCCTCATCCTTTGACCACTCCCACTTAATAATCTCACCTTTGAGGCTCTGTTCTTGTGGCTAGTACTTGGATAAGTGAAACATTGCTAAGTTGCCAGTTGCTTGTC